CAGATAGCTGCTGCTGCTCTGCTGCTGCTGCTGCTCTGCTCTCGTTCTCGTCCGCCCGCCCATCGCGCCCTCGGTGTCCCCACGTTTTTCACGGCAAGCCCGCCTCCGCAGACACAGCAATGTTGCCCCCCGAACCTACCAAGGCAGGCAGCACGCCAGGCGGCGCAGCGGCTGATGTCGACAAAGCAACTCCCTCCGAGGCGGCGGCCGCCGGGAGCGACGGCAGTACCGGCATCGAGCCTGCGCCGGATGATGCGAATAAGCTGCAGGCAAGCTCTGTTTGACGAACTCTGTTTGCCATTGTCCTGATGCCAGTGACCGGAGATGCAGGGCTGGGCGAATGTGCTTGCAGGAGCTCCTCGCGAATTTCTACATCGGCGCGCTCACTGCCAACCTCATCTCCCTGGGCGACAAGTGAGTTCTCTTGGGAGTGGTCAGGCTGGTCACTCGCCCACCTATCCTGTCAGATGCACGCATGCACCCATCATCTACACAACGACCCCCCCTTTGCGTGCCTGCAGGCTGGGCTTGTACGCTGCGCTGAAGCACCACGGCCCCTGCACCGCCGCCGAGCTGGCCAAGCACCAGGGCCTGAATGCGCGCTACATTTCGGAGTGGCTGCGCCAGCAGGCCTCCGCACGCGTCATCAGCACCGACGAGGCCGCTGAAAAGGTGTGCAGTGCACCAGTTGGTCCGTGACTGGCATGGAGATCAGTTGATGTCAAGAGCTTCACTGCTACTGCCTCCCTGCAGTACTGGCTCACCCAGGCGCAGCAGGATTGCCTGGTTCATGAGAGTGGCAGTGATGCATCTCCCTTTTATTCTGCCGGTGATGTCCGGCGGGCGCAGCCAACCCAGGATTGCTGCCGACTGCAACCTTCCTGCCAGCTCCGTGACTGCTGCCTTGGAGCCAGGAGTCGTTCCTTTGCCATCTTGCTTTGTGTCCGTCGGTCCTCTTGCTGCCCTGCAGGCGGTTTCATGGCTGTCCCTGGCCTGGCTAAGATGGCGGATGAGCGCCTGCCTACTTGCTTCAAAGACGGCTCAGGCATCAGCTGTGAGTGCAGCTGGGGATCGCCTGTGATACTTGGTATTGTTTCTAGACTTCCCTGCCCACACTCATTAGCAGGAGGCGATCGGGAGACGATCCCCTTCCTGACTGCAGACAACGAGATCGATCCCAGCGTCACCTGTGGCACCTGTCGCGAGCTGGTGGGTGATCTGAGCACCGGAAGCCCTTCTATCATTTTTTCTATCACCTGGAGGCTGCAGTTCAGATGTGCAGGCACACAACTGCTGGGGTATTGTAGCAATCAACGACCGCATGAGTCACATGAATGGCTGAAACCCTGTCATCCACGCTCATGTCAATGCAGGGAGTGTGGCTGCGCCACTCTCTGGTGCCCAGCCTGCGTGGCATGCCAGGCATGGAGGCAAAGCTGGAGAAGGGGTGCAAGGTACAGCCGTTGCTGTCCTTCAGCTTAGCGCCTGGAGTCCTGGGGTCATGCTTATTAGCATCATGTCCATTCCCCCCACTGCCATTGCACCAGGTGGCGGACGTAGGGTGTGGGTGCGGTGAGGCGCTGCTGACGGTGGCTGCCGCCTTCCCCTCCTCCACCTTCCACGGCTATGACATCAGCGAGGATGCGCTGAGGTGAGCGGCAGTGGCTGCGGTGCTATGGTGGCTCGCCAAGCATGGTGCTCGGCTCATTGGTGCCCTGCTGGTACTCAGGAGCGCCAAGGCTGAGGCGGGTAGCCGCGGGCTGACCAATGTCGAGTTCTTCAATGCCGGACTGGACGAGGAGCGCATGCCGCAGGAGCCCACGTACCAGGCGAGGCGGTGGGGGACGGGGCATATAGGCAGGCCGCAGAGTGGCCAGCAGCTCTCCCCTCCAGCTCCCTTTCAGACAAGTGTGTCTGGCTGCCTGAATTGGGGCTGATCTCCCCCTCATCTGCCCCTGCAGCTGGTGATGACCCACGACGCCATTCACGACATGGCTCACCCGCAGAAGGTCATGGCGGCGGTGCGCAAGGCGGTTGCCACCGACGGGTGCTGGGTGGTCGGCGATATGACGGCCATGGACAGGCAAGTGAGGAGCTGACGGCGTTTTGGTTGTGTGTGCTCAGTTGTGTGTGCTCTTTTCCAGAGACTGGAGGCAGATGGACTGGACTCTGGGGAGGCTCGGAGCTTGTGCTGGTATGAGAGGCGCCAGGAGGTGCTGCCGCTTTCTGCACACATGTGCCTTCCCATGCCTCCTCCCATGCAGCCATGCCGCCAATGTGCACTCCCACCCCCTGGCAGCCTACATGTACGGCTTCAGCTGCCACCTGTGCCTGCCTTCGGGCATGAGCGCACCTGGTGGTGCTGCCCTGGGCACGCTGGGCATCCCCGCGGTGAGCAATCACACGTCGGCATGTTTCGCGGCGACGCCATGCGGGCTACCAGCAGCGCTGCCACTGATTGACTTGCTGGCGCACCCTGCCTGCCATCTGCCGTGCCAGGGCGAGATGTGCCGCATGATGAAGGAGGCGGGCTTTGGGTCGGCAGAGGTGCTGGACTGGGACCACCCCTGGAACAGGCAAGCATCGGCTTGCAGCAATTGAGCAGCTTGGCTGCTGATGAGAGTGGCGGCTGCCAAGCGGCATATTTTGCCCATTGCACTTCGTTTTGACAACACGCAGGTACTACATATGCAAGCCATGAGACAGAAGCCGTGTTCAGGGTGTTACAGGGCAAATTGTATCAGTTAAAATCACCTGAGAAAACGACCCCAGCAAGCTTGTTACGCAAACGACATGCCTGTCTTGCCTTCCTTGTTGTCGCGTTTGGTGACGTAGTGCCAGAGGATTTGCTACAGCCTCTCTTCCTCTGCATTCCAAGGAGTATACTCCTTGAGCACACTCCTATTTCCCTCTGTGCATCTTCCGCCGACAGTTCAGCTGCCAACCTTCCTGCTGAATGTAGAGTTTTGATGAGACGTTACATTGTCACAGAGCGTCAGATACCCAGGGGCAGACCCACGTGATGGTGCAGCCGGGTCTGCCCCTTCATGCCTCCTCCATGCCAGTCATGAAGCCGTAGGGAACCTCCGTGTGCTGGTCTGATGCTGGCCGCGGCTTGGTGTCATTCTGCAGCATCACCCGGATCTGAAGCGCCACAATGCCTGCCGTGCCATCCGCTATCAGCTGCGTGTCCCACTGCACGACAGGCGGGCGGGCACGCAGGGTAGGAGGGAACTTCAGCGATTGAGCAGTGATGCTATCCGGAGGAGGAAGGTGGGGCAGAACATCAACGTAAGAGTAGAAATGCTCGGCCCAGTTGGGCCGGCCTGACGCGCACACCTGCACCACGGGCATGATTAGCATGCTGCTGCTAATGAAGAAGACTTCAGTGGCCGCCTTGGCCTCAGCCAGGCTGATGTGCCGCTGCTCCACCCGCTTAATGCCCTCCATGCCCTCTTCAATCGCCTGCAACGCTAGCATAGCGGCGGAAATGGACAGGTCGGTCAGTTTGCTGTTGTACAACATCCAAGCAGATGCCCATCACTAGATCTGTTGCCGCTCGGTAGCACGACAACAGGGGCCTGCGCTGCCGCAGGCCACATGAGCTGGCGTGGCTGGGCAGGAACGAGGAGGATAGCGCACCGCGGGCAGCAGCTCCATCATGCGCTGCACGGTGATGCCGTTGAGGGAGTGATCAAAGGGGGGAACCACCAGGGTGCCGTCGGCCTGCACAGCCAAGAGGGTGGCAGGCAGGCAGGCAGGCGAGCGAGGTTGAGGGCAGCTCGCAGCAAGAGAATGACGAGGCCAAACAGGGAGCGCACCAGGGCTGGGAGCTCACCAGCAGGCAGGCCACGTTCATGTTGGGGCCCTCGCTCACGTTGCCTTCAGCATCCACAAACACGCCCTGCAGCCAGGCACATGCATCTGGCTGGATGGGCACCGCTGGCGCCCAGGGAAGCCAACCAGCGCAGCACAGCTGCCATTGCAGTCAGCGACCACCACAGCCCTGCCCCCCTTGGCCCCAGCATCACAAACGCACCTGGTCGAAGCCCTCTGCTTCTGCGTCCATGAGGTTCAGCGCGTTGGGCAGGTAGTTGTTGGACTTGATGCCGGTGAAGAAGGGCGGCTTGAGCGGCACAGGGCTCGTCTTCACGCGCCACCCGCGCAGGTACTCTGCACGACGCCAGGCGTGTCAGCCAGCGAGTGGGTGGGAATGGGGTGGGTGGGTGGGCGTGATGCACACCATTGCCAGCTACTCCCACTCCCTGTGAGCGCCACCGCCATGCCATCAGTAGGCCAAGTCGACTCGGCCATGGGCTCACCGTCCAGCTTGCTGTCGGGCACCTCCTGCGTGTACACCACGCAGTAGAATGCCGACCCCAGACACTCGTTGCCGCTGAGACCAAACCCGCCGCGCCCCGCAGACAGCCAGTAGCGCACATGGCCTGCGAGGGAGGACACAAGAGCAGGGGGAGGGGCGGGCTGGAAGGCGGGCTGGCAGGAAGGTTGGCCTGATAGCGCAGAGACGCCCTGTTGCACATCCTGGCAGCCGGCACCACGGCCCACACGCACCATTGAGCTTGCAGCTGGCGGCAGTGGTCTCCAGAATGGTGCGCCGCATCTGCTCCACGGTCATGCCGGGCGGCAGCGGGATGTTGGCCTTCGCTGCCGAGGCGAGGAAGCGGTGCAGGTGCTGGTCCAGCTGGTACAGGTGGCCGTTCACTAGCATGGCGGTGTCAAACACTGCAGTGAGTGGACGGCAGGAAGGCAGGTGCCTTGGTGGAGAGAGCACAGGGGCAGACATGGCAGCATTGCGTGGTTGGGGTAAATGGCGAGCAGGGGGCAAAACCAACACTAGGGCGGCATAGGCGGGGCAACTCTCGATCTGCCCCTGCAGTACGTCCCCTGCGCCAGCTGCTGCCGCCGCCATTACCTCCGTGCCCCCTGTGCAGCATGTGGTCGTCCAGCTGCACCACAAACAGCGCCGGGTCGGTGACGATGCCGCCCAGCTCGCTGCTGTAAAAGGCGCGGTAGGTGGTGCGCTGCGCGGCGTGTTGGCTCTCGTATAGTGCATCTAGCGCCTGCAAGTGCGCAGCGCCGGGGGGGAGGGGAGGGACCCCGCGGCAGCAGCACGGTTGGGCATGCGGGCTGCACAACAGGTGCACGCGAGGCAGGGCGAGACATGCTGGCATTGGCCTGCACGGCCGCATGGTGTCATGCCACTGGTCAGTCCCACCTCTTGCGGACTAAGCAGCCGGGTCGGCATGGTCCGTTCCACCTCCTCATACTGCTGCTGCTCCTCTGCCTCGGGTGCCTCTGCAGTCGCGGCGGCGTGCACCGCAAGCCGCCGCTGCCGTTGCCGCAGCAGCGCCTTCACGGCGGGCCGGGCTGGCGCCTGGGCAGCCTTGCAAACTGACCAGCATGCTGCTTGGCGCCTGCTAATCGCCTGCCTGCTGCCTGCTGCTGCCGAGGGCCAATGCCGAGGAGCATGCGTTGCTGCCGGCACCACCATCGCTACTTGCCTGCTGCTGACCTCCACACGTGTGGTGGTGCAATGCGTCAGGGATGCAGGCGGGTGATTCCAGGCGGGTGCCGCAGACGTCTCGAGCCCCCAAAGCGAATTGAAATCAACGCTTGTCGCAGACAACAATTGTAAATTGATCAGGAGCGTCACGTTCTAAAAGGTACGCTGACGTGCCCTGCTGCCCACACCAAACCTCTGGATCGAGCAGGGCAGGGTTCGCCGAACCATCCCAGCATTGTGCGTCGGCGTTCTGGGCCAGAGGGGGTGGTGGACGCTCTGGCTGCGGAAAACAGAGAGCCCTACTCCCATGCCCTTTTGGCGGCTGCGGGCCTGCGAGGCCGCAGCACACTAGGTAGCTGCTGCCAGCATCCCGGGACGAGCCGCAGCCCGTTCAGCGCTGTACAGGAGGGTGCGCCCGCGGCACGGCGGGAGGCTTCGCAGGACGACTCCCGCCGCTACAAGGCAGCAGTTTGCTCTTGCCTGCTGCTCACCCCAGGCTTGCATGCTGCAGGCACAACAATCATAGGCTACAGAAGCGGGGCAGCCATCGTGTGGGGGTGCACTGCATCGCTTGCGGCTCCACCGCACCCCAGGCACGCCACCCCACTGACCAGGGTTCTCCTAGGGTTCTTTTGCACGCAGTGGCAGGTGCAGCAGATTGCGCAGCGGGGCTCCAAAACTGCAGTGTTCGTGTCCTTGTTTAGTTTGCAGCATGCAATGAGACTCTGGACGGGCACCGCTCGCCGCTTTTTCCCGCCTTTGACACCCTTGCCTGCTGCCTGTCTCCAGAAATACTTGGAGCGCATCATCTTGCATACGCCTCAGGATTGCGGCATAGTTGTTGCTGAGACCGCGGTTCAGCAGCTGTCCTAAACGGTGGCCTGCTGGCGCTGGCGGCAGCGCACTGCCAGCCGGCCCGCCCTACCCACCCGGTTTTGCCACTGGCGCACTCCCGGCCTGCCTGCCAGCCTGGTGTGGCGGGGGTCAGGGGTCCATGGGGCGCTCTTACAATCATTGGTCGGAGGCGGAGGTGGCGGCGCTCAAGGAGGGAGTGAGGCGCTTTGGTGTGGGCAACTGGCAGAAGATTGTGAATGACTACCCCGTGCTGCGGCATCGCACGGGGGTGCAGTTGAAGGACAAGGTGAGGAAGAGAGACGGCCCAAACAGCACAGGGGGCAGGAGGACTGCTTGGCCCACCACTGTGCCAGAAACTGAGGCTGCCTGCTGCCGGCATTGTTTGACACGCATGTCAACCGCTGTGCCATCCCGCTCTGCTGCCCTGCTGCCTGGCAGTACCGAAACATGATCAAGTTCCGCCACCTGGCCATCAACGAAATGGGGGCGTCTCCGCCGCAGCAGCGCCGCTCTAGCTCCTCCAGGGCAGCTGCACAGCGGAGCCCTGCACCCGCCGCCGCTGAGGCCGCGGCCACCGCCGATTCACAGCCGCAAGCAGCCTCGCTTCCGACGCAGCAGCAGGCGGCGGGAGTGGCACGCAGCGCCGGTGCCAGCAGCGCTCAGCGCGCAAAGGAGCAGCAGCAGCCAGCGGCGCCGCCGTTGACAGCGCAGCAGCAGCAGGATCAGCTGGCTGCGGAGCAGGCGGCTACGCAGCAGCGGCTGCAGCAGGCGCAGGCAGCTATCAAGCCGGTGCAGCACGCTTATGTGCAGCAGCTGGCCGCTGCTGCCATCCGCCGGGCAGCGGCAGCGGCGGCGATGGATGAAGCAGCAGCAGTAGCAGCTCCAGGGGCGCAAGCTGATGCGCTGCAGCAGGTTGCACAGTGGCAACAGCAGCAGGCAGAACTGGCTCAGCAGATGCTGCTGGCTGCCAGGCAGGTGTATCTTCAGGTGGCGGAGGAGGTACAGCAGGCGCAGGCGGCAGCAAACGCCGCGGTTTCAGCCGTCCTGCAGGCAGCAGAGACGGCAGCAGATAGCGCACCCCTGAGCGGCATGCTGCCTGGCACGGATGCGCATGTGGCGGCGACGGTAGTGCGGCACTCCAACCGGCGCAAGGCAGCTCTCAACCGCAAGCGCTTCCTGGGTGCGTGCCTCCCTGCTGCAGCAGCTGCTGCTGCTGAGGTCAGCGAGGGTGTGTAGCTGGAGTGCTGGGGTGTCGCCTGGGGTAGGGCAGGGCTCCCTGATTTTGCGATAGTCGCAACTGCCTAGCGCAACTGACCAGTTTTTTCCTTGGGCTGCCCTGGGCGCTGCAGATGAAGAGGGCGGTGTGGAGGAGCCGCACTCTCGGCCAGTGAGCTCGCAGGGCGGCACGACCGCGGCAGCCTCGGGTGTGGCGCAGATGGATGTGGAGGAGATGGATGGCAGCAGGCCGCCCAGCGCGGCGGGCGGCAAGCGGCGCAGGGTGGGCGCCCAGAAGCGGCTGCACGAGGACACACGCTTCGGTGCGCTGCCTGCCTTGAAGCCCTGCTGCGGCAGCGCTGCCGGCTGGCTGGCTGCAGCTCTGTCTGCTGCTTGCAGCCACGTGTGTGCTGCATCCTGCAGGGGTTCGGCTGGCTGGCTTGCTCTCGCCCTGATGGTGAGCTTCTCAGTTTCTGCCTTCTTCCTGGTGGGGTTTGCAGGCATTTACGATGATCGGCGCTACCGAGCAGGGCCTGCCGGCTCTGGCTCCGAGGCACCACTCGCCCACCGGCGGCGTACCAGTTCGGGCGGTGGCTCCGCGCCCGCACACAGCGACGGCGGCGTGCGAGGGCGGGGTGGCGCCGCCCGCGGGGGCGCGGCGTTGCAGCGCCGTCGCCGCCGCCGCCGCCAGCCTCACCACCTGGCCTCTGAGTTTGGCATCAGCGATGACGACGAGGACGAGGATTTTGAGCTGGATGCTGAGCTGGCAGACGCTGAGCTGGCAGAGGCAGACGAGGCAGAGGAAGAGTGGCAGCGGCAGATCAAACAGGAGCAGCATGACGTGGACTGCTTGTGCGGTGTCAGCTACGACGACGGGGAAGGTGGGCGGGTGGTGCAGCGGCAGGTGGCATGGCACCCAGGGGAATGGCAGGCAGCAGTGCTGCCTGCTCCGGCGGTACATTGCTGAGTCTGATCCGGCATGCTGTCCCCCTCGCTGGGCCGCCTTTGCCTGAATGTTGGGTGCAGAGATGATTGAGTGTGAGGGGTGCGGCGTGTGGGCCCACATCGCCTGCCTGGCGCGGTATGGCAGGTGGGTGGCGCTGCATGCAGAGTGCAGCTGGAACTTGCCTCGAAATCCAGGAAGACCGTCTGTGCCGAAACATCCTACCTCTCGTCCCCTTGATTATTCATTGTTTCAAGCCTGATCTGGCCTCTTTGCGTGCATTGCAGGCTGCGGCACAGCGCAGATCGCTACATCTGCAGCCGCTGCCAGGGCGGCTTTGGGAGCCCAATGGCTGCCGGCACGCCCACTGCAGCAGGGGCCCTGTCCCCGCGGGGCGTCGCGGTTGCGCTGGGTGCCAGGCGGCAAGCGTTCCGCAACGGTGGGTTGGTTTGGTGGGCGGGTGGGCCGCAGCCACCGGTTTGGTGGGCGGCTGCAATGGGGCGCTGCACATTTCCTATCCGTTGCAACCCTGTAATCCAAACGTTCTCTGCTCAACGCCTGCTCCTCTGGCGCCCCTGCCCCCTCCCTCCTGCTGCTGCTGCTGCTGCTGCCCTGCCTGCAGACAGCTTCAACAACGACGAGCTCTACGATATTGCTGCCTTCCTGGACAACATGGGGCCCCACCACCGCCTGAAGCTGCAGCGCAGCGGCAGCCTCGGCCCCGGCTCCGCCCGCGCGCGCAGCGCCTCGGCGCAGCAGCTGGCGGCGCTGGGCAGCATGGAGGCGGCGCTGGGCTGCAGCAGCCCCCGCGCAGCGCTGCCGCTCGGGCTGCCGGTGCCGCAGTGGGGTGGCAGCAGGCCGCGGCGGCCGCGCAACCGTCGCAGTGGCAGCGACCTGGGACAGCACCCCTGGCCCTCGGCGGATGTAATGGTGCCAGCACCGCACACCAAGCGGCACCGCCTGCCGCCGCCGCACCCGGGCACCGCCGCAGGCGCGGGCCTGGCGGGGCCGCTGTCTGGCTGGCATCAGATGCCCTCAGCTGTGGCGGCAGGCCTGGCAGCAGCCCACCTCTCGGGCCTCCACCAGCAGTCGCACATGCAGCCGCCTCCTCATCTGCCGCCATTCATGCCGTTTGGCGGGCCGCCGCCCACGCTGGGCGCGGCCACACGCCTTTCGGAGCAGGGGCTGTCGCCCGCAGCCGTCGCCGCCGCCGCCGCGGCTGCTGCTGCTGCGGCGGGCATGACTCTGGGGCGGAGCTGGGGGCAGCAGCCGGATACGTCTTCTGTGGCAGAGCCAGCGGCACATGCACAGCAGGAGAACCAGAAGGCAGCAGCAGTGGCAGAGCTGATGCAGATCATGCAGGGGGCTGGCAGCGGGCTGGGGCTGCCACCGCCGCCAAGGTGCGGGGATGGTGGATGGGTCGGGTGCTTGCCGTGGCCGCATGTCAATGCACCCTGTCAATGCACCCTAGGGCCAGGCAGCATGGAACGCATCGGCGAGACTTGAGCCCCTGCTTGCCTGTGCTGCCGCCCTGCCCGCTGCAGGCCATCCCTGCCTGCCGCCACCGCATCGGCGCTGCTCAGCTCGCGGCAGCCCACGCCCTCGCCGCCCATAGACCTCATGCACCGGGACCTGCATGATGTAGACCTGCAGGGTGGGTGGTCACATGCTTTCTGCCTGCCTGTGGCAGCCTGGCAGTCCTGATTGGGACAAACGCTGGCTGCGCATGCTGGCGGTGCAGTGTCCCCGCTAAGCAGGCTCCTGACTCCTGCGACATTTCCTGCTCTCTGGCGTTGCCCTGCAGATGACCTGCATGCCCAGGACTGGCTAGCTGCAGCAGCCTCACTGGCCCGGGCAGACAGCCAGCCCACGTACCCAGCATTTCCAGTGGGGCCCCTGGATGGCGCCAGCGGCAGCCACCACCTGCCCAGCCTTGGTGGCTCGCCCGCCCGCCCGCCCTCGCTCTCCAACGCTGGGGTGCTGCCGCTGCCGCCTCCGCTGGCGCCCATGCTGGGGCTCCAGGAGCAGCACCAGCACTGGATGGCAGTCATGAGCTCGCTTCAACAACAGCAGCAGCAGCAGCGTGTAGGGGCAGGGCGGGGCGAGCCAGCGGCGGCGGCGGCAGGGGCGGCAGCGCCGCACCTTCGCCCGTCCCTGGCCCTGGGCCTGCCCCCGGAGCCGCCCTTTGCTGCGGTGCACCGCCGCTTGCACCAACTGGCAGCAGGGGCTGGGGCGGCGGCAGCCAATGCTACGGCAGCAGCTGCGGCCGGAGGTGCAGCTGGCGGGAGCGGCAGTGGCAGCCGTCGCCAGTCTGGCGGCCTGGATGCGGCGCAGCAGCAGGATGGGTTTGGTCGGTATCGTCAGGGCTCGCTCCATTCCCTGCAGCAGCTCGCGCCAGACCTGCAGGCACGCCCTTTTTCTGCCACTTGCGGATTGCAGTGCCTCTCCCCACTCTCGCCAGCACGGAGGGCTGCCGGCCTCTTGGCTTGTGCTGGAGGTGTTTGTGAGGCTGATTTGTTTCTGATGTTGTCTGTTTCCAAAGAGAGATTGATGATCGTTGCTCGTCATGCTGACCCCTCAACTTCCCCTCGCATTGCAGGTGGAGGGCCTGCATGGCCTCACGCCTAGCGCCTCCGCCCGTGCCGACTCGCTCATGAGCGGTGAGCCCACTACATGCCCTGCCCGGCATTTCCAAAAATACTTCCTGTATGACCTTCCTTGTTGACTACTCCAGCAGACGGGCTAGGCCGTTACCAAGGTATCAACCTTCATGCCTTTTTCCTCAAATGGTCATGTTGTTGCGCAGATGACGACGCTGATTTGGAGGGTCCCCACCTTATCATCCCGGGCGGGCAGCAGCACGAGCAGCCTGATCCAAAGCAGCAGCCCCAACAGCAGCCCCCGCCTGATCACAAGGGCGACAATTAAGAATGAACACTGGAGATGGCCGCCTCGGCACCGCAACACGTGCCTCCTCCCATATCGCACTTCAGACCATGAACTGACGCCGCGCCAAGGATAGTATTGCCCTAGAACATTCACGTGCTGCACATTTGACGGACGACTTTTTGCAGAGGGCCTGCAAACTGTGAGTGGGCCTGCCGCATGTCGGCCAGTGCGCGCACGTGCGCCAGCGTGGTCCACCTGGCCACCTGGAGGAGGAGGGCATCCCCTGCCCCTCCGGCGCCTGTTCTCAAGCTGCCGTGACCTCTAGGCGCCCTGCTGGCGCGCTTGCCGTTTTTTTCGTTTCGTTGTTTGACAGCCTTCGGCTGCAGGAGCACCCGCAGACGGGCTTTCAGAGGCTTGGAAACGCTTGGTGGAGGCGGCAGGCGCACGATGGGGCCTAGCACGGCGGGCAGGGGCTCTGGAGGTGGCGGAGGCCGGGGCTCTAGCGGCGCGGAGAAAGGAGCACAACGGGGCCCTGGCGGCGCGGAAAAAGGAGCGCAGCGGGTTGGCTTCCGGGGCACCGAAGCCAACGCCCGAACCCGGCTCTGTGAAAGGTCGTGCCCCACTGCTGCCCCGGCACTGCTGCACACAGCCGCTGCCCGCGATCCGCGGCCGCCTGTATGCGGGTCTGGTGCGCTTGCTTGCCGGGTGGGCGGGTGGCCGCTGCTCCCGCCGCGGCGTCGCCCGCCCCTTGCGCTCCCTGAACATCGCCTCTTCTCGCTCTTTGTTTGCTTGCCTGCAGGTGGCAAGCTGGGCACTGCCGCTTCGGCGACCGCTGCAATTTCGCGCATGGCGAGGAAGAGCTTCGAACGCTCCCCGCACGGGGAAATCCTAGCGGCAGCGGCGGCGGCGGTAGGGGGCGCGGGCGGGGACCAGAGAGCGGTGGTAGCAGCGGCGGGCGGGGCCAGGTGAGCTCTGGCGCATGCTCAGCGGCGGTCCGGTGCTTGCGGCTGCCACCAAGTGGGCTGACCAAAGTCTCCACCTGCCGCTGCACAGCATTATTGCGTGCGTGGCTGCAGCTGAACCCATAGCGCTGCCCTGTGATGCCTCGCTTTCAGGGCGGCCGAGGCGCTGGCGTAGCAAACGGGCGTGCACGAGACGACCCGGCATGGAAAGCAGCAGGTGTGGCAGCGGGCAGCAGCAGCCATCGAGGAAAGAACCTGCACTTGCTTCCTGGCAGCGCTCCCTGACCTGCCTGGCCACCTGGGCGTGCAGGCTGCCCAGTTCCGGGGCCGCAGGGCTGGACGCAGTACCGCACTGAGCAAGGGGAGGCCTATTACCACAATTCCAAGACCCAGGAGACGATGTGAGTGGGCTGGACTTGGGGCAGGCCGCTGTCAGGAGCTGGCGGGGCCGTGCGTGTCAACTTGGCTGCTCTTCCTGCCACTTGATCGGCTCCCCATCTTCCTCATTGCCATGTCTGCACCCGTTCTGCCTTTGCTGCCTGCAGCTGGGATCCGCCAGAGTGCTGGAAAAATGCACCAAAGACCAACTAGGTGCCTGGGCGCGGGGTGCCCTTAGTGCGCGCATGCGCTTCGACCCCAATTTAGCTACCTAGTACCCGGCACCCGCCTGGGCTGCCCCGTCGGTCACACCCCACTCAGGGTTGCGCGCTTCGACCTGCTGTGAACCAACGACCTGCTTCGACCTGCTGTGAACCCTGACCCCTCATTGTCGCTCACCATGGTACACAGGCGTCGCGTAGCTTTTGGAGCCTGGGCTGGGATGCACTCCGCAACCCTATGATTGCTGTTTATTGTTCACTGGCCTTGATGCTGTTGTGTGCCCAATACGCCGCCACTCCGCTCACACTTGTTTTGCTGTGCGTTTTGTATGACTCTGTTTGTTTATGCGAACGCCTTGCGGGCTGAGCCCGCTGCCCGCAGTACCACGACTGAGACACACTGTGTACTGCGCACGTCATACCACACCACTGCACATCCGACATGCAAGCATCGCCCCTTTTTCCTGCCCATTGACTTCCCCCTTCGCCGTGGACCAGTCTGTACCCAGTCGTTTGCTGCAATTGGATGCATATTGAACCTGTGCGGGCTGGCGGCATGAGGCCCACCCACGTCCCCCGTTGTTAGTTGCCTTTCTTCCTCCCTCCTTCCAGCCTGCTTCCGTTGCGGCGGGCGCGCCACGGCTTGTGCTGGCGCCATTCCTCTTCCCTTCCCTGCATGGTCCTCCGCTATGCTGACCAGCCATTGTAAAATAGACACGTTTCACTGATGAGCTGAGCAGTCGATGTTGTCTGCAAAGCGGGGGCATCTGGCCGCACTGTCACGGCAGTTCAGCCTCCACATCCCCCGGTCTCCACCCACTGATCACTCCTGCTTCTGCCGCTCTGCAGCCAGCTCCCCAAGGGTGCTGTCGCCAAGGGCCGTTGTCACAGCCGCCAGCACCACCAGCACTGGTAGGGTCTGCAGCAGGCGCAGGTGCGCAGAAAGGAGCTCAGCAGCGGAGGCTCGACTTGCAAATGCCAGGACACAACAACAGAGTGGCGCACAGGCAGCAGCCTCCCCAGCCTGCCTGCATGAGGTTGAGCTGGATCCAGAAGAGCAGGTAGAGGGCCAGGATGGCCAGAAGGCCCAGGTGGAAGCCCGCGGCGGCGAGGAAGCCAGCGCCGCTGGGAAAGCCCTGGAGCACCAGCGGGAACAGGCAGGGCGCAGAGGTGGCACCAGGCGGTGAGGCCAAGCCTGGGGCCAGCAGAAGCGGCCAGACTGACGAATTGCGAGCGCAGCTGGGGGTGCCGCTGCAGCAGCAGAGCCACTGCCTGCAGCCGCTCCCTGCGCACCTTGAGGTTTCCGCCCAGCTGCAGGGCGACGCCGACGTAGAGCACCACAGGGGCCGCCGCCAGCAGGGTAAAGACCAGGGACACAATGGCGGGGGCACGGCGCTCCGGCTTGCGGTGCATGTGCAGGATCTCGGGCAGGGGCGTGAAGAGGCGGTCCATGGCCCTGCACGCGGCGATGTGGCGCAAGTTGGAACCAGCAGTCAGCTGCCACCCAGTTGGAGGGAGGCACTGCTTGGCCCCAGCCCAGCTTTGCCCATTCTCTGAACTCGGAACCTCAGCGCCGGCGCTTGCTGCATGGCGCTGCACTGTCGCCTCGCGCACCTGTAGGCGGCGCCTTCGGGCTGCGAGCCGTCATCCAGGGGCGGGTGCAGCACCTGCACCTCGCCCAGCGACCACTGCACCGGCTGAGCCGACCGCGTGTCGCCAACCAGCAGTGTGGCATCGTACGCGCCACTCTGCAGCCCAACCTGCAGCCATGGCAGGCGGCGTGGCAGAGGGGCAGCAGCAGGGTCCAGGGTTGGGCAGCGCGGAGGGATAAGCGCATGCATGATCTAGCTCCAATCTGGAGAAGAGCGGGCTGGCCAGGGCTGGCAAGCACCAATCCAACATGCGCCGGTGGCCGCCAATGCTGCCGCCTGCCTACTTTTGGCCGCGCTCCTCCCCGCTGCCATACACCATGCAGACCTGCTCATGCCATGTTCAGCGGCGCCCAAACACCTCACATACTGCGGCCTCTGGGCCTCCCCCTAAAACAATCGCTGCACCTGCTTCTGGATGTCTGCCGACTTGGCGGTGGCATACAGCGTACCATCCTTGGCCTTGACCGCCGCAAAGTAGGCAGCGCCGCCGCTGACACGGCTGGTCAGACGCAAAAACACCTGCTGCGGCCGGAAGTCTTCATCCGGGGCGGAGGCCAGCGCCGTGGCCAGGCTGACCTGCGCGGAGCGGGCCGGGGCGGCAGCACACGCATGCATGGTGTTGAGCATGGCATCAGGATTCAATTTGATCCTGCTCACAGCACTAAAAACGCAGCAGCAAGGAGCATGCTTTGTTGTGCAAGGGTGGGGGCATTGGCGGCACACCTTCATGGTGCGGGTGTGATCCAGTGCTCCCAACCGCCCGGTGCTGGGGCCCGCCATCTGCTGCACGGAGGCGGGGGTGCCGCTGGCCTCCAGCAGGCTGACGGTGACGTCCTTGAGCGTGATATCGCTGGCGGGCTCATCGCCTGCCACCGCCACGATCAGGAGCGCGGCGCATAGCGCTGCGAGTACCCTGCGTGCCATCGGGGCTGGCCCACACCGGTGCTGGGCCCCGATGGGGACGGAGCGGGGCGAGGAGCCTCCGGGTGCGATGGACAAGCAGGGCTCCACCTCTGTCTTGCTGGTGATGATGGGGATGCGGCGAAAGGGCATCCGGGCTACGATTTCTGCCACTGGGCCCGCGTTGGCGGCCTGGGCGGTACTTGGGCGGGACAGGGCGATGGCGGCGGCTCGGCACACTGAACAGAACTGAAGTAAGTCTTTGGGTGTAGAATCCCCTTATCTGCACATGGTTTGAGTGTCCTCTCACCTCAACGCAACGGTTATCCAACGGTCCATCCGATTGGCGGCGCAAACTTCCGTCCGTGGCACCAAAGCGCTTGATGTGAAACAGCGGGCCTATTTTACCGTTTACATGGGTCTCAAAAAATGTAACCATATATGTTCTGGTAGGAAAAGGGGAACGTTGCGCCTGCAAATCCGACGGCGGCAGAAACAACTGCATTGTACAGCTGTTTGAGCAAGAGCCCACAGTTGTAGACGCTGAGCGCTACTGCGCCAGCACCACCCATCAGCCCCTGCCAAACCACCTCCCAAACGTGCTTGTGCTGGGCTTGGGCTCGGCGCCAGGATCGCGGGTGGCCCAGCTGGGCGCAGGTGCCAGACCGCCGCTGCTTGGCTGTTGCAGCTGCGATGGAACCACAAGCGATGCCAGGGGCTGTGCCTCGGTGGGAGGGGTGGGAGTGTGTGCCTCCAGAGAGTAGGTAGGCGCGGCAGATTGTGCCGGCATGGAGCCCTTGCTGCTGCCCACCGACTTGGCGCTGGACTCTGCATCCAGTGGCGGCGGCGGCGCGGCAGCGCTATTGGCTGCCTCGGCTGCCTCGGCCGCCTCCATCTTTGCCGCCGCCGCAGCCAGGTGGTCCTTGGGTCCCATGCCCAGCTTGGACCGCAGCTGCTCCAGCTTCTGGCTGCGCGCCCGCTGGCTCTGCTGCCGTGCCCAGTAGCGGTCGTTGGCTGCCTGGCTGGCCGCACGCCGCTCCTCCTGCTGCCGCTTGCGCTCCTCCTCGGCTGCAAGGAGGGCGGCAGGCAGGCAGGCAGGCAGTTGTCAGGGGCAAAGCCAGGGCTGCCATGTGCTGTGGACAGATGGGGCAAGCAACAACAACGTGCAGCGTTGCTGCACGTTGTGAGGTAAATGGTAAATGGCAGACATGGCAATAGGCATGCACGCGGCGACCAGTGGCAGGCAACTCACCCTGCTTCCGCTCTGACTCCCACTTGTGCACCAACCCCTGGCCGTTCAGCTTCTGCTGGCGGCGCCGGCGCACGCAGAACGTGGCGGCAAGGGCCAGGGCGATGGCCGCCGCAGCCACGCTGCCCAGGATGATGCCAATCATCATGCCGTTGCTTCCGCTGGTGGAGGCGGCCTCGGTGGGGGGTGTGGGGGTTGAGGGCGCCGGCATATAGACTGGGCGCACGTACTTTGGAGGCACCGGCGCAAACTCATACTTGCCGCTGCCCAGGAACACAATGTCGGCAGAGGTGGCAGACACGCCTGCGGGTGCCGCGCAGGCGGGGTGAGGGGAGAGATGGCATGTGAGAGGGCGGGCCTGGGCGGGCAAGCGCTCAGGCAGGCGCGTCGGCAGGCGCTGCGTTGCTCGGGCAAGTGTCGTGCGTTCCCCACTCCCTGCAGCATGCGTGCACACCCCCCATGCTACTGTCCCTGTCCACGACACTCCCAGGCTCGCGCACCTGCGGTGGTCTCCAGGCTGTCCAGCAGCCGTCTGGCGCTGGCAGCGGCATACATGGTCGCGTTCAGCTCCTCCTCCCCGGCCTTTGTGGGCACCAGAGTGTAGGCAAACAGGTACACGCCATCAGCGCCCTCGTCCAGCTCAGCAGTAGCCGGCGCCGGCGCCGGCGCCGGCGCCGGCGCGGCAGGCGTGGTCGGCGCGGTGCTGGGGCTGGGGCTGGGGGTGACGCCCGTGCCGGTGCCGGTATCCTCGCTGACAGGGGTGGGTGTGTCGGTGGTGGGCGTGGCAGTTGTGTTTGTGTCGGTGGTATTGCCCTTCTTCTTGGTGCAGCCGCAGCACATGGCGCCTGAAGGCCAGGCAGCGGAGGGATGGGGGCAAGGCAAGCACAGCTCGGCATGGCAGCAGGCATCCCAGGGGGACTGGCTCGCCAACCAGCAGTTCGCTGGGCACATCCAACACACACGCACGTGATATGCAGCAGGCACTGCCCCATCCACCCACCGTCTTTGTCGTAGAAGCGCGGCCTGTACTCGGCAGCCTCCACCTTGCCGGCCGCCAGCTGGCCCTCGCACCACGCCGTGCAGGTGGCCTCATCAGGTGCCAGCGCGTGCTTGGTGCTGTGGCACTGGCCCTTGGCAGATTTGGTCAGTTCAGGCGCCGCTGCTGCGGCCTGGCGCAGCTTGCGGCCCAGGCCATTGATCGGCAGCGGATCAACTGTGGCCTTGGCCTGGTCGCCAGCGGAGGAGGGGACGGTGGCCGGCGCGGGCGCAGCATCCCGCGGCACCTCAGGCTTCTTGCCTGGGTATGAGGGCTGCAAGGGGCAACCAGCAGGGCGGTTTGCGATCGGTTGGTGTGTCTTCTGGTGCCTGCCATGCTGACAGCTCGGGACAGCTCACACGTTGGTCATCCACCTGCCACAAAACCACAATCTCACCTGCTGAGAGGAGTAGGTCCAGGGGGTGCTGGGTGTGAGGATGGAGATGGTGGAGGCCACCATCGTGGCCAGCTCAGCTGCCATGGGTGACGGGGCACCAGCCAGGCGCAGCACCAGGTTGACGCGGGTCCCAACGGGCTGCAAGCAGCAATGGTGGCAGTGTTTGGATACAAGCGTGCCAGCTGGCCAATGCAGGCAGCGTGCGGCGCCCGATTTGATATGGGGTCAGCATAGGTGGGCTCGGCATGCGCAGCACAGCAGCGCAGCAGGCCAGAACGGACTGGGGGAAAGCCTTTTGGCTGGCTGCTCACCGGGGGTGGGGGAGGCGTTGGGGAAGGCGGTGGTGGAAGCGGGGATGGGAGCGCTGCTGGGGCCGGCGCAGGGACAAAGGCGGATGATGGAGATGGGGCAAGGGCTGGGGCGGACATGTCGCCGCCGTCGACGGCGGCAAATTGGTCGGGGCTGGGGGGGGGGAACATGCCGCTGTTCTCGTCATCTGTGCTGATCTGCTCGTCGCTGCTGCTTGCCAGGTCCTCCTCGTTGCCGTCGTCGGCCTGGTCTGTGGCAGCAGTCACGCCACCACCATCTGCGCCATCCACGCCGGTGTCACCCTCGGTGCCATCCACACCAGCTTCGCTGTCGGTGCCGTCCACTGCTGCGCCATCAGTGTAGGACACTCCATCCCCGTTGCTGCCATCATCCATGGCAGTCGTGGACGTGAGCTCTGAGGAGCCGCCGCCATCTTGCTGGGCGGCGGCATGGCGGGCAGCCAGGCACACCGCCAGCAGGAGCAGCAGGGTTAGCCGCCGCCGCATTATGGACCTGCACACGCATCAGGAGCTGGCGGTGAGCGCAAGCGAGCCGGGCGCCTCCAAATTCGGACGGATCTACTAGATTCAAGGGAGTTTACCCAAGCGGCGGGGGTTCTCGGCAGCCGGCGGGACCTACATCGATTGTGAAGAGGGGCGGGGGTGGGGACCTAAACTCGATTGGACTAGGGGCTCAACGCGCAGGCTTGCTTTCCTGCCGCCCCCTCAGCGCGGCAGGCGCAGCACGCGCGGGGGTGGGCAAACCAGTTGCCTCAGGTGAGGGGTTCAGCGGGGCTTGCCCGGCGCCGACGGATGCATGGCTCCCTTTCTTGGAATTAAGTTCTTTTAGGCTGCCCTTGGGCTGGAGGCGGGACGCCGGTTGGTGCTGTTGCCAAGCGCGCCCAACTGCCCCCCAGCCACACCACACATGGTTTCTGGTCGTTCTGGCATGTTTTGCGACTGCATGGGCGGGTCAGCTTTGTGTTGCATTCTGCGCTTTGCAAGTTTTCTTGTGTAACCGGTGAACGGTTTAACGCTGCCCGATTTCCCTGATCCCTCATGCCCCACCATGAGCATGTGTCGAACCGAGTTTTTCTTGCAGTCTGACTTTTTGTGCAACAATCACTAGACACCTTCCGACCCAGCTCCGTCCGCCACCTCAGCGTAAAAACTCCGAATTGAGCCCTGACGAATTTAGCTTTGTGGCTTTATATCCAGGAAGTGAACATCCTTTGGTGTACCACACAGCACCCCACCAAAACTCCGCCGCTTGCAATTTGCTTTGTGCACCGCTCCCACCGGCCGCAAGAGAACTGCAGCCACCGCAGACACGCTGCTGGCCGCGCCACAGCCCTGCCGCGGGCCAAAAGCTGCCGACGCGGCATTCGCAAGTGCGGAGCACAGCCTGAGGCGCCATGGCACTGCAGCTAGAGTTCCGGCATGACTGCCAGTGAGTGTGGGGAGCAGCGGCGGGGAGGGCGGCGCCATGCCTGCGAAGTGTGGCCCGCGGCTTTTGCAGCCCTCACCTGCCCGGTCCGGCCGCGTTGCAGGAACCTGGGGTGCTCAAACTTCCAGTGCAACCTGTGCAAGCTGAGCCAAAGGCGCCGCTGCCCCACAAACTTCGCCGCCAAGTACTTGGCGCCGTGCGACGTGGTGGAGGCCAAGTGCGGCGCGCAGATATATGTTGTGGTGACAGACATAGGCACCGGCCAGCTCGTGCAGCAGGGCCTGGAGGATCTGGGCCTGCTGGTGAGCAGAGAAAGGGTGCAGCGAGGGCTGGGAACTGCGCCGGGGCGGTGGCGAGCGGCGCCTCTCGCTCCTGCCCTCCTGCCGGGGTGTGGGGGTTGGAGGGGCTCTCTCCTGCTGGGGGAGCCCGCGTCTCCAGCCACCCTGCCTGTCCTCCACACGCAGTGATGCGTAATCTGGCGGGCTGGCGCCATTGCCGCTGCCGCCGTGCCCCCAACCGATCGTCCCGCCCCAACGCGCCTGGCACCCCCCGCCCTGCCTTTGCCGCTTTCCCGCCGCGCCGCAGATCAGCATCGTGGATGGGCGCAAGTTTGAGGTGGAGGGGGACGGGGAGGACGCGATTGAGCGCTGCGAGCTGCTGGCCAACAAGCAGGGCCAGCCGCTGCTGGCGCACGGCCGCTCCGGCTCCTACACCGACACCAAGCGCGTCATGGTGCCCATGATCCACGGCCAGGCGCTGCTGCCAGACCTCAAGATCACCGACTCAAGCGAGGCGCTGCTGACGGGGCGCGCGCCGCCCTTCCGCCTCGCCGTCCGCGCCGTGCACCGCTCCGGCGAGCCCTTTGTGGGGGTCAACTACGCGCTGTCCGACCCGTTCGTGGTGCGCCGCCGCGTGCGGAGGATGAGGCGCACCAGCGAGGGCCGTGCTCTGGGCCCTCTGCTGCGCGCACACGCAGCGCAGCGAAGCTGGCGCACGCGCTGCAAGGGCGCCGTCAGGCTCATGTCAGCCTTACACCCCCCGTTACGGCATGATTACACGCGTCGGGCAGGGCATGACGCACCCACCACCCTGTGCTGACCCCACCCCTGCGCTGCCCCCGTGCTTGCAGGTGGCCACCGCGCGCGTCAAGGGCGCCGCCAAGCTGGAGATCCCGCACGTGGATGACCACGTCAGCAAGATTGACTGCGTGGGCCTGCAGGTGCGGGGCAGCGGCAGCGGCGGGGGGGCGCAGGTGGCCTGCCAGCTGGCGGCCCGACGCGTTTGCCAGCCCCACCACCCCCGCAGCAGCTGTTTCAGCCCCTTAGCTCACGCCTGCTGTCGCCTGTCCTCCCTCCTGCTGCTGCCCCAGACTCAGAAGAAGCTGGAGGACATCCGCGCGGCGGCGGTGGCGGCGGGCGTGCCCGACCTCAACCTGCCGATCAACAGCGTGGTCAAAGGTCCGCGCTGCCTGGCTGCCTGCTGTTGTGCTACGGCTGGCACAGAGCTGGGCAGGGGGCCAGGGGCACAGATTCCAAGCCAACAGCTGCTGCCGGCTGGTGTGTGCATGAGAAGCTGCATGTACCTCGACCCTCCTGGCGGGCCGCGTGCCGACCATCCTGCCCCTTGTTGCCTGCCGCCCCTGCCCGCCCGCCCTCTGCAGTGGGCCAGTTCCGCGACCTGGTGGAGACCGCCGAGCGCAACAAGGCGCTGCGCGAGACGCTGAAGCAGGTGCGGCGCGGCGCCTGGTGGCGGTGGCGCAGCGGGCGGGTCGGGCGCGCGGCGTGCAAGCCTGTGCCATGCCCCGCATGCTGAGCTGCGCTGCGCGTTGCGTGACCGACCCCCCCCACCCCGCTCCCCTGCCAGGTGCTGCGCCTCACCAAGGGCTGGGACATTGCGCGCGACCACGTGCGCAAGGCGGTGGAGACGGACGTGCAACTGAGGGTGTACCACCCAGGTCTGCTGGCGCGCCTGGCGCTGCCCTGGCCACGCCGCCGGCAGTGCTGCGCAGCCCCTGCTGCTGCTGCTGACTGGCGCGATGCGCGGCAGCTCCGCGCGCCCTGGCCCCACCGCGCGCTGCGCTGCCCCGCTGCTGCCCCCCTACCTGTCGTGCAGACGGGCGCACCGAGGTGGGCCTGGTGTTCAAGTGCGGCTCCTTCAACGTCATCGACATCAACCGCCCCGTGGGTGAGCCCTCGCGGCTGCCGGCAGCCCCGCCTGTGGTGCCCCCGGCACCCCACGCCAGGCTTGCCTCCTGTGGCATTGGGGAAGCAGGCACGAGGCACAAGGCACAGGAGTGTGTGTGTGGGGGGATGGCTTTGCCTCACACGGTTGTGTGTGGGGGTGGCTTTGCCTCACACGGTGGTCCCGCCGCCGCCTGCGCGCCCCTCCTCCCGCAGGCCTGATGCGGCGCAAGCAGAACCCGCAGCAGGCCAACCAGGAGCTGGTGGATGTGATCTGGCTGCCCCTGGACACAGCCAGCTTCCCAGACGCGGTGAAGCGCATGCTGCCGCAAGCCTCCGCCGACTGGTGAGCGGGGCGGGGGTCCAGGCGGGCAGGCCTGGCGGGAGCCGGGGCACGGCGGCAGCGAGGCTGTGGTGTGCTGGGTGCTTGACGGGGGCGGGCCTGACGGCACGTGCCGACACCGCGTGCCTCCCTGCGTGCCTCGCGTGCAGGCGCAAGGACGGGCACCCAGGCTGGGCGCTGCTGCCGCTGACCATCGGCCACATGCCGCCGTACAGCGATGGCGGCAAGCCCACCAGCCAGACCTCCTCCTTCACCTTCACCATCCGCATGGCCTCGGGCGCGGCGCCGCCCCCCGCCAGCACCGTGCCGCTGCCGGTGGCGCCGCCCGGCGGCATCCCGCTGTCGCCTCGCGCCTCTGGGCCCGGCGCGCTGCCCCCGCAGCCGCTGCTGGGCTCGGGCATGAATGGCGGGCTCAACGGCTTTGGCGGCGGCGGCGCCGGGCTGCCGCTGGGCCTCAACCTGGGCGGCGCGCTGGGTGGGCTGGGCCTGCAGCCGCCGCCGCACCTGCCCGCCGGCTTTGTGCCCGGCAGCGGCCTGGACGCGCTGCGCATGCAGCAGCAGGGCATGTCGTCGCCCCTGGCCGGCCAGCTGCCCACCGGCCTGCCCCCCGACCTGCTCTTTGGCGGGCAGCAGCAGCTGGGCGCGCCGCCGGTGCAGCAGCAGCAGCAGCAGCAGCCTCCGGCGCAGCAGCCGCAGCCGCCGCAGCAGCAGTTTGCGGGCATCCCTGGGCTGGGGCTGGGGGGCGAGCTGCCGCCGGCGCTGGCCGGATTGGATGCGGCCACGGTGCAAGGCCTGATGCAGATGCCCACCCTGGATCTGTACAGCGCAGGCAGCGGCCCCGCCCCCGGCGTGCAGCGCAGCTCCAGCCAGAACCAGGCCAGCGCGATGCAGCAGGCGCAGGCGGCGGCGGCCGCGGCGGCCGCCGCCGTGGCCAGCGCGCAGGGCCAGCGCGCGTCGGCGCCGCCACCTGGCGCCCAGCTGCCGCCTGAGCTGGCGCACCTGCTCAAGGACGACAGCATGTCTCCGTTCGAAGACCCCAACTTCCAGCAGCTCATGTCGATGATGGCGGGGCCCGCCGCCAACGGAGCGCAGCCCGGCAGCGCCGCCGCCGCCGCCGCCGCCGCCGCTCGCGGCCCGGCGCCCGGCTCTGGCGGCAGGACCGGCCGCGACAACAAGCAGTCCAAGCGCAAAGCAGGTGGGGCGCACAGCTCTCTTGGCCCTGAGGCGCGACTGCTGCCTGCGGTGTTGGTTGGTTGGGCACGCTGTCGTGTTTGCCGTCGCCTGCCCTGGCCACGCCTGGCGCATGCCTGCTGCTTCGGCACGGCACCCGCTGGTGGCACGCCGACTGCTTCCTTCCCCCGCACGCCCGCCGTGCTGCGCAGACACGTCCCTGGTGACGTGGATGGACATGAACAAGGGTCTGGACGACCTGTCGCTGCCCGCCAACGTGGCGCCGCTGGAGTCGCTCTTCACATCCATGCTGCCCGGCGGCGAGCTGGGCGCGGGCGACGGCGGCAGCGGGCCCCCGCCCCAGCCCGTCGGCTTCTTCCCCGCCATGCCCAGCGGCGGGGGCAGCCCCGCCAAGCGAGGCGGCTCGCGGTCGCCCGGCGGCACGCCGGCGGCCGGGGACGGCGCCGCGGCGCAGCAGGCGGCGGGCTCCGAGGCGCAGCCCATGGACGTGCAGCAGCCGTCGCAGGCGTCGCAGCAGGCGGCGGCGGGCGGGGCGCAGCAGGTGGCGTCCAGCGCGGCGGCCGCCACGCAGCCCTCCACCGGCACCGCGCCCATGCAGGGCGACACGCCCACCGCCGCGCAGCAGGCCGCTGCTGCGCCGGCGCCCGCGCCGCTGGTCACCACGGTGACCCTGGAGCAGATGCAGCAGCAGTTTGCCCGCGCCATGCGCCAGGAGATCACGTTTGCCGAGCTGGAGACGTACCTCAAGCAGTACAACCTCCTCCCCTCCGGGAAACCCGCCGGCGGCGCCGACCAGCAAGCGGCGGCGATGACGGCGGCCATGGCGGTGGCTGCCGGCGCGCAGCAGCAGCAGCAGTCCAAGGACGGGTCTGGCGGCCTGGAGGACATGCAGACCATCGAGAGGGCGCTGCCCGCCTAGGCAGCACGCAGCGCAGCACGAACCCCCTCCCCGCAATGAACAACCCCGGCAGCATTTGTGCCACACGAAACGCCCAAGACGCTCCGCTGCCCTTCTGCACCTGAACATGTGCCAGCTCCACCCTGTCTGTTGCTCTTTTGCTCACTTTCCTCCTGTACAATCCTGCGGTCTCTTCCTCTCCTTCTGCCTGCTGCCGACTCGCCTGCGGGCCGGGTGTTGCTGCCCTTCCTGCATCGGCCCGGCTGTTTTTGTTGGCTGCGCCGGCAATGCCTGCCCTTTTGCCCTGTGCCTATTCCCACCACACCCATAGCGATGACACCCTTGCCTGTGCCCTGTGTCTGTGTCTGGTGATGCCGGGAGCTCTGTTTACACCACCCCGCCACTGCCACCCTCCGTGTATTCCACATATCGCCTTCAGCGCCCCCCAAGCCCCTGATTCTTCTACCCTTCACGGTCTGCATTCTTGAACCCACCATGTGTAAATCAGTGCATTTCGAGCTGCGCTGAGCGGCAGGGGTGGGCTAGGCGTCTTACCAGGACGGCAGCGAGTAGTGAAGGAGGACAAAATTGAAACACTGGATACTAGCAAAAATCGAAACACTGGATAATAGGCTATGCCTGCAACTCTGGGGCTGTCTGCTGAAATGCACAAAGCGCAAAGTGACGCCGCCAGCGGCAGAGACGCTGGCGGAGGCGCCGGCGCAGTTTGAAGGTGCAGTGCCCGTGCAGGCGCACTCAACAGGGCAGCCTGGCCTTGAATCTTCCGAATGCACGACACTCGGTCCCAATGGATTACGCTGTGTGGGGGAGCGTGGTCAGCGAGCCCAGAAGATGACAGCGAGATCGCTTGTCCAGCAGTGCTGCCCCATGGGGGCTGATGCCTCTGCCCCCCATCCATATGCATTGCTCACTTCCCTCCCTGTCCTTTCCTCAAAGCTAGCAGCCGCCTATGCCACTGTCCCTTTAGCGACTGCCTTCCGTTCAAGCGCTACCCCCCCCACACACGAGCTCCCACCGCTATGTCCGCTGCGGCGCTCGGCGTGGGGCAGACACTGCGCTGCCAAAACACAGCCTCTGCAGCTCTGCGGCGCAATGCACGGCCAGTGGTGCTGGCGCCCCTCTTCGCGCCCCACTTGGGGCACCGGACGCAGCGAAGTGCCTGCGCGACTAGAGCACTAGCCCAGAGGGTGAGTTGTATCCCAGGGCGGGCTGCGGCTCTCCCTCCAACTTCAATTGGCGGCTGGCGCCAAGGACCGGCAGCGCCGCAGGCGTCGGCAGCACCCCTGTCGGACCAAACCATACAACATTCACCAGGACCTGGTTCCTTCTTTCTGCCATGGCAGGCCAGCGAATTGCAGCGGTGGCTGTGGCAGGCCCACCACCCCCTGCCTCGTCAGCCAGTCGGCCGCTAACTGTGTTGTCGCCCTGCTGCCTCTGCAGACGTCAGAGGATGCAGCACACCACAAGCAGCAGGAGGAGCTGCAGCAGAAGCGGGTGAAGCGCGCCGAGGCGCGGCGGCGGGAGCAGCTCACATACCAGTTTGCCGCCATTGCAGCCAGTGTGGGCGTGACTGCCCTGGCGGGCTTTGCCACATACTACAGGTGCAGCCGGGTGGGAGAGGGCGGGCGGGGGCGGCAGCAGGCACACAGGCCAGCCAGCAGCTGCGCTGGCAGGCTGTCTGGGTTTGGTGCGCAGCAGCTGGGTGCCTTGGGCGTCTGGCTGGCCGGACGTGGCGGGGGGCGCCTGCAGCGCGACGTGCACTCCCCAACCGCCGCTGCCTGGCTGCCTGCGGCTGCCTGCAGGATCACGTGCTACCTGGCCAACGACCAGGCCTTCCCGTACCTGGACCTGGCCTGCACGCTGGCGCTGGCGGCGGGGGCGGCGTTTGGCATGGAGATGTGAGCAGGCCGTTGGCAGCTGGGCTGCCCCGCTGCCTTGAGGCTTCCTGAACAGTGTCGGGGCCGGTGTCCGTCAGTCATGCCCCGTCCCTGCAGCACTGAGGGAGCCCACCACCACAACCCCTCCCCTGACCCGCGCTGCCCCCCTCCCGCTGCAGGTATGCCCGGTGGGTGCACAAGGACATGTGGCATGACAACCCGGTGGGCTACATCCTGCACAAGAGCCACCACGAGCCGCGCACGGGCCCCTTTGAGGCCAACGACATCTACGCCATCGTCAACGCCGTGCCCGCCATGGCCCTCTGCCTCTACGGCTTCCTGCGCCCCGACGTCTGGGGCAGCCTCTGCTTCGGCGCCGGCCTGGGCATCACCCTGTTTGGCATCTCCTACATGTGAGCCCGGCAGCAGCCCGCGCGAGGCGCGCAGCAGCGTCAGGGCCATGCCTGCTGCCGGCGTGCCTGCCGCCCACCCTGTGCCCCATGCATGGCCGCCCCTCATCCATGCCTGCTGCACCAGCTCGCCCATGCGCTGCTCTCACCTGGCGCCCACCCCTCCGCCCCGCGCCCCACAGGTTTGTGCACGACGGCCTGGTGCACCGCCGCTTCCCGGTGGGCCCCATCGCCGACCTGCCAGCCATGAAGCGCATCGTGGTGGCCCACCAGCTGCACCACAGCGAGAAGTACGGCGGCGTGCCCTTTGGCATGTTCCTGGGACCGCAGGTGCGGCGGCGGCGGGGCGGGCAGGTGGTGGGGATGGGGTGGCGGCGGCGGTGAAGGGGCGGGGGCCCAAAGCAACGCGGCGGCCGCTAGTGCAGGCAGAGAGCCTGGCGGTGCTGACCGCGCCGTCCCGCTGGCGTTGTGTGCAGGAGCTGGAGGCGGTGGGTGCAGGGCCGGAGCTGGACCGCATGGTGGCGGAGTTTGATGCCGCCAGGGCCAAGAAGGCGGGCGCGACGGCAGGCGCGGGCCGCCGCTGAGCTGAGCGACTGTGCGTAGAGTCAATTGATAGAGCCATAGCGCCACCAGACCACCAGATGCTGACGCGCGTCTCGCCGCGACACGACCAGGCCGAGATCCCTGCCCCCTTTGACACCCTCCCATGATGCTGCTGCCTGGCCCGCTTCCCGACTGCCAGCCACCTCGCCCTCTAGACGGCCGTCCCGTCTCCAAATGCAATTGCCCACGCCTCCCACCTGCTGTGCTGTGCCTATGCTCGTGCCCCAACAAAACCTTGCAATCGTTGCTCACTACATGCAGCCCAGCAGGCCGCCCGCCGGTCGTGTTGCCTGGGTGAGCCCCCCCACCTCTTTGCACCGAGTTTTCGCTTCAGCGCTCATTTTGTTGGGCCGCCGATTTTCACCCGCCACCTGCTGCTCGATTTGTCTCCAAGAATGGACCCTCCACACACCCTGCCGCACTTCTGGTCCGCATGTCAGATGGCCCCCCCTCCCACCTGCCCGCCTGAGTCTCGAACTGTTTCCCTCTTGCTGGTGTGCGGCCTGCCAAGATGCTGCGATTGATGTTCTGTAGCTTACGCCATACTGGCCTTGCCTTCCTGCCGCGGAATGCCCAAACAGCCGGCTGCTGCTCCGGCATCCCCGCTTGAAACGCACTGGGCCCCTCCTCCCTTTGATTTGCACTCCTACTTTTGTTTTTTTACCCCACAAGCAAACGTGATACATGTAACCAGTCACCAGCCAAGAGAGCAGTGCTGTGGAGGGGTTCGTTGAGGAATGAGGCGGCTGCTCTGGGCACTGAGCGCTTCAGCAACCGCAGGCGGGCCAGGCAAGCATGTATGTTGTCGCAGCACGATGTTCGGCCCAGTTCACAGCTTGGGCTGCGCGGCAGCGACCACGAAAGCCACCACAATTGTGATGTCATCCATCTTGCCGCCGAAATACCGGTAGCCAAGCTGCTGCGCGCCGTAGGCAAAGGGGCTAAGGTGGGTGGGGTCTGCGGCGCGCATGCGGGCAAACTGCGCCAGCGTGACCGCCACCGCCTGCGCGTTCTCCCCCCGCTCCTTGCTGGCGGAGACCAGGGAGGCCGCCTCATCTGGGTACACATTGTCAAACAGGCCGTCTGTAGCCGCCACAACTATGTCCCCCTGCCGCACCTCCACGCTGAACCGCCGGGCCACCTGCAGCGGGGCCAGCATGCATTCAGCAGACAGTCCAGGGCGGTGCGTGCCACGGGCTGCAAACCGGTTGGTGCGTGCAGCTACTCGGGCGAAGCAGCTGCCCTCCCCCGCGGCGAGCACTACCTGCGGCGTGTCGGACATCGAGTCTGCCGACCCTATCTGGTAGGGGAAGTTGAACTCGTGCTGCTGCTGCGGAGACATGAAGACGAGCTCTCCGTCGCGAATCACCATGAATCCTGTGCAGGGGCAGCGGGGCAGGGGCGAGGGCAGATTGGGGCAGGGCAAGGAGCGGCTACCAGGGCTGCTCCATGCCCCCCAACCCACGCCCACACGAACACACAATGGCTGCCAACGCCAGCAGCGCGCCCCGCGTGTCCGGCTGCCGTGCTGTTGAGCACGTGGCACCCACATCACCTACACCCACACCTGAGTCCCCAAGGTTGGACGCGTGCAGCCGCTCATTCTCCAGGCAAAGTATGCAGGCGGTGGAGGAGCCACGTGCCAGGGTGCTCAGATACGCAACCTCCATCAAGTGCTGCGGCGCATTGGGCCCTGCACCACACTCAGGGCACCGGACCAGGGCAGGCAGGTGGCAGGTGGGTGGGAGCGGGCCGGCAGCCTGTGCACGCACCCATTGAAGCCGACTTCAGGCATGCGGGCGGCTCCAGGGGCAGCAAGCACGTGCGGGGCGCACCTGGCTCGCAAGTGGTGGCAGCCTTCTTGGCGTGGCTCATGAGCTCCCGCGAATACAAGCCTGGGTCCACGCCCACCTGCACCACAACACCACCACGCCACGCCCATGCATCAGCTGCGCTTGGTTCGCATCACACCCCTTCTGCTGCTGCGATTGGACCTGCCGTGCTGCACCACTCGCGGCATCAAGACGCTGGGGCGCCACGCAACGGCAGCAGCGGCGGTGTCACCTCTGCCCAGCCGCCCACGCCGTCTGCGACGCCCATGCAGGTGCCTCGGTCACAGATGAAGTAAGCATCCTCGCCGCCGCGGTCCGCCTTGGCTGGGTGCGGGATCATGCCTGCCCCGGCCTCCAGCAAGAACTTGGGCACAAAGGGTTGCTGCCTGCACGAGCACGGGGCCTCCATGGCTGAGCTGTATATGTAGATTGCTATGCACCGCTTTGTGTACCGCCTTTGCAGCGCGGCAGCAAGATCATGCCACGGGCAGGCATGATGAACAGCCTGCACGCACCGTTTGTCTTCAACTGGTGCTGCCGAGGTGGGCGCACAGCTGCTGCTAGCATGCGGTACCGGCGACGGCTCCGCGGCACCGCTAGCTGCCTGCAGCGACCGCTGCTGCTGCCGCCGCCACTCCGCCTGCGGCCAGGAGAGCAGGGTGTTGCATTCTACAGCCCACGCAACAGCAGAGGGCGGCACACAAAGAACGACAGCAGCCGCAGCTCCGCTGCATAACCATCCAAGCTAGCTTGCCCGAATGCAGGACGCAGCAGGCTCACCTGCGCCACCCAGACGCCTGCGCTGACCGCGGCCCCGCCTAGCAGCAGCGCCGCTGGTCGCTGCGCGCCAAAGCTCTTGGCGCCGCGCAGCAGGCTGCGCCAATATGCGACCATGGCCTGCTGCTGAGCTGCCTGCGAGGGGGCTGCCTTGCTGCTCAAGTGCCGGGAGAGGGGGTGAGGGGTGTGTGCGCCTGTCGCGGCCACCGTCGCCTGGAGCTTCACGGCTACTGCTGCTGCTGCTGCTGCTGGTGTCGAACTGATGCGCATCAATGCAGACGAGAGGAGTTTGCTAGTGAGAGTTGCTAGGGCACCCGACAGCATCGCTAGGCGCCCAGGAGCAGCTAGGCGCGAACCCCAGCCTTCAAGCGCACATGGCGGCGCTCGATCGGCAGGAAACGAGGGTCTGAGGGGAGGTGGGGTTCAGCGGCGGCCCGGCGATCAGGTGGATCAGCGTGCCTTTTGCACAGCGCGCACGGCGGGAATGCGGCTGTCGACACGGCCGGGCTCCCCCACAAAGGCCGGGAGACACGGAATGCTGACGGGGCGGCGCCCGTCGCCACGGAGCGGGCACCAGCGCGGGCCGCCATTAATGGATAATTCAGCTCGATTACAGGAGGAGCCCAGCTCACTCTATTGCACACGCCGTAGCACAAACAGCCCGCCTTTGTCGCCCACGCTGACCCGCAGATCGCTGTCGAGGAACGGCGTATCCAAGTAGCCTACCGGCTTGAGCAGGGCCAGCGAGGCGGCCGCCTCTGGCAGCTGGGCCACCTTGGCCGTGAATCTATCAAAGCGCACTGCGACGCAGGATGTGGGGCCGTCCCCTGTGCCGGGCCGCACCTGCACCAGGTGGGGCAGGCACGAGACAACACTGCTGTCAGTCAGCAGCATGCACACGGGCTGGCCAACGATATGGCTACAATTCAGCAGCTGCAACGCGAGGGAGCAGGCCGCGCGGCCCCACTCACCGCCTCCACACTGCCCGACACGCACAGCCGCAGTGGCAGCCCGCGCGTCGTCTCCACGATGTTGTCCACGCGGCCAGCGCTCAGCACCTGGGTGTTGGAGGCCGAGGAGCGGCGACCTGCCCCCACCGCACTCCCCGCCAGCACCGGCACATTTGCGTAGAACAGGCTGTACAGCGAGTCCGAGGCCGCCTGCAGCGCCTGCTGCAGCGAAGGCCCAGTGCCAGAGGCGGGGAAGGCCGATGCCGACGCCAGCCTCCTGCTGCGCCCGGAGAACAGCAAGGCCCACGAACCCAGCAACAGCGGCGACAACGCCGCATCGGGGGTGGGGTTGGCTGCCGCAAGCTCCACCGCCAGGCCCTCTACGTCCTGCTCCAGCTGCAACTGGTTGTCCCCCGGCTGCGGGTTGTTGCATCTGCGTGTGCAGCGCAGCGGGGAACCAGGGGCGGGGATTGAAGCCCGGCTGGCATGGCCGGCCAGCTCCCACCACACTTACTCCACTCACCTGCTGACTGCCTGCAACAGCTGGGCCTTGAGCTGCTTGACATCTCTGCTGCAGCTGCTGCTGTCACTTCGGCTGCTTTCAGTTGACGGCGTGCTGGCAGCGGCGGCGTGGCGGCAGAGGCGGGGGCGGCGCCCCCGAACTGCAGGGGGTCTGCCTTGCCACGCAGACATGTTCCTGCTATCGCAGGCCATTAGCCTCTGTGCTGCTGCTGGGACGGAGAGTGACATTGTGGCAGCCACCATGTCACGGCTGCCACTCTGCAGCCCGACGTTTTCGCCACCTGCTGACCATCAGGACGATCTAGGAATTCCCACATGCCCAATTGAGGCCGTCAGCACAGAAAGGTACAGGTTGGAACATTCGGGCCCTGCCCAATTCCATGCAGCTGATCGGCCCATTCCAACCCTACAGCAAAGCACATACTTGTACAGGCAGTATGACGGCGCCACCAGTGGACCTGGTGTCCTCCCTCCAAGAGGCGATCGGCCGCCTGAACGCCATGCTGTTCAACTACTTGGGGGCGCTGCAGCGGGATGCCCCTCCCCAGCCGGTCAAGGGGGAGGCCCTGGTGGCAGCGCCCAAGACGTACGATGTGCTGGTGAGTGGAGCGGCCGGCAGCGGGCGGACACAGCCTGCGCCCCTTGCTCCCCGTGCTTGCAGGGCAGGGATTGCTCACCCATGCCTCCTCCTTCTTCACCAACACCACAGGCACAAACAGAGCTTATGGCAAGCGACCTCATGGCGGGGCTGAAGGATGTGGAGGGCCTCATTCAGCAGCTGCCGGAGCTCAGTGGCAGCGAGGCTGAGGAGGTGGCGCAGGCGGTAGCACTGCTGCAGCAGAATGCGGAGGCCTCACAGGAGCTGCAGCAGGAGCTGGTGGCGGCCAGCGCCAAGCTGGCACAGCTGCAGGATGCACACGGTGTGCTGGCAGAGGCGGCGCTGCGCCATCGACCGCCAGCGGGAGGAACAGCGGAGCAGCAGAAGACTAAGAGCTGAAGAATTCCAGTTTCACAAGTCCGATGCTTTTGACGTAAGACATTCCGAATTGTACGAGTTGTGAGCGTGCAAACACTCAGTGTTCCACTGTGAAATCTCACCTTTTGGGTTTCATAGCCAAGCTGCATGGGAGTCGCTGCCAGCTCCACATTCCTCAGCAGCACCATCGGCAGCACGCCGCATTGCTGCTGGCACGGGAGCTCGCCGCTGCTCTTCTGGTGTCGGCCGGGCTGGCTGCGTGACTGCTGGTCAGCAGTAACAGGCGTGTGGCCACTTTGAAGCTGTCTGGCCAATGGCGGTGTGTGGCAGGGCTCCACCTGCCTCCCTCGGCCACAGCCACGAGGCTGCAGGGCAGTGGCAAGGGACCACCGCTGCAGCTGCGTGCCGCTAAAGAAGGAACCTGCCAGCGCAGGCTTTGACCTGCGGCACACGGGGGGCCACGCACCTGGGCGCCAGATCTGGCCGACCCCACTGGCCCACGGTTCGCAGGCAGTCTCTGGGTTACAGAGGTGTGTGCCAAGCTCAGTACACACGTGTGGAAGGTTGGCGCGCCACATGTGTGGTATGGGCACAGTACAGGTAACTGGGGATCAACTAGGCCTGGTCCTCCTATAGCTGGAAGTGCACAGCTGCTTTCATGCGAGCAGAGAACATTGCACAAAACATGTGAAACATGTAGAAGCCATCAATACCACGGAAAATCAATTGCGGGTATTAATACACCATTCCATTCAACTACAACATTCCCAGTCACGCAGCATTTTGGCGGGCCTCTCTGTGCTGCCGCATGGCTGCCAGCACCGGCGCCAGCATGGGCAGGTCGGCGGGCGGCATGGGGTACGCTCCACCCTCGAGCTCCCTGGCGCCCACCCATGCCAGCGCCTGGCCCTCTGCCCCCAGGGGCTGCCCCTCCCACTCGCTGGCCACGTATGTGGGCATGAGCAGGTGGAAGGCGTCGTAGGGGTGCGAGGCAAAGGTGAGGGGCCGCAGGGAGGCGGACGCCACCTGGATGGCCAGCTCCTCCCGCAGCTCCCGCACCAGCGCCGCCTCGGGAGTCTCTCCAGGGTCCACCTTGCCGCCTGGAAGGGTGTGTGTGGGGGGGGTGCGCAACAGGGGAAGGGGCTGAGCAGCGAGGTGGGGTGCCGCATCGGGTGTGGCGGGTCGGGGCCTGGCATGGAGGGCTAGGTTCATGCATGGCCGGGGGCGTGCAGGGTGCTCCCAGCCCGGCTCCTCACCTGGATACTCCCACAGGCCGGCAAGCGCCTTGCCTGGGGGCCGCTGCGCGAGCAGCACCTGGCCCTCGTCATTCAGCAGCACAACCGCAACTACGAGCAGCAGGGGGCGCGACTTGGCCGTGGCGCCGTCGGGTGCTGCGGTGGCGGCAGCTGCTGGTGATGACGCCATGCACCGAGTTTGCTGCTTGCTTTGTGCTGCTGCTGCAAAAGGTGCTGATGGCGGCGCAGTCGTGCAAGCTCGCCACAAAGAGGGGTCTGGAGAAGGTCGGACGCGGCGAACTGCTGCGGCGGTGGCGGCGTGGGCCGAGGCGCCGGCGCAATGCTGTTGCAAACTGGGGCACAACCAGCGACTTGCCACAGCAGCACCTACACAGCTGGAAGGCAGGCGATTGGTGAGCAAGGTAGGTGGCGAGCTGACCTGCCCAAAAAGGCTTGCCGCCGGCGGGGCTGCCTGGCGCCTCACCCTGCATTGCCTTGCCGTCAGGCGCACCACCCTCGATGTGTGGAGGTTGTGGATTGTGCTGAACGCCCGGTAGAGCAGGCGTCAAGTGTGTACTTCGAAAGAGTACCTGCCTCCCCCTTCTCCGCCCTGCCTGGGGCCGCTGCCGCATTTCAGGTGACGTTTAGCGCCACCGAGTCTCGCCACTGTTCAAACATCCCGCAGCGCCAGAATTGGTTGTCCATCGCCGACCAATGTCGCTCTTCAAGGGCACCTTTCAGTCCGGCCACCTGAGCCTGCTTAGTTCTATCGGCAGCAAGCCCCTTTCCATCTGGTCCAGCGAGGGTGCGTCGCGCCCGCCAAATGTGTGTGAATGTCGGGCCGCTGAACGAACTCAACAGCCGCCCGCGATGCCCCAATTGCAGTGGAGAATGGACACATCAAGCGGCTGACGGACGAGGACATCCAGAGCTCCGTGCTGGAGGTTGCCGGCGCCAACGTCGCCACCGCCTACATCACCTGCCCCGCAGACCCCGCCAAGACGCTGGGCATCAAGCTGCCCTTCCTGGTCATGATCGTCAAGAACCTCAGCAAGTACTTCACCTTTGAGGTCCAGGTTCTGGATGACAAGAACGTGCGCCGGCGCTTCCGCGCCTCCAACTACCAGGTGGGGCGGCAGCTTGCGGCGCCAGGCACGAAGCCTGCCATTGGCCGGCGGCTGATGGATCCAGTGCACAGATGCACAGCCCGAATCCCCTTATGCACCCCAGCCTCGCCCGCCATCCCGTAACGCCACACCACCGTGCCGCCCACCTGGCGCCCTGCCTGCAGTCCACCACCCGCGTTAAGCCCTTCATCTGCACCATGCCCATGCGCCTGGACGAGGGGTGGAACCAGGTGCAGTTCAACCTGGCCGACTTTGTGAAGCGCGCCTACGGCACCAACTACGTGGAGACGCTGCGGGTGCAGATCCACGCCAACTGCCGCATCCGCCGCATCTACTTCTCCGACCGCCTCTACACCGAGGCCGAGCTGCCGCCTGAGTTCAAGGTGCAGCGCCGATGGGGGGCGTTGTGTGTGTGGGGGGGGGTGCCCTGGGGGGGCAAGTAGGACAGTGGGAGGATTCTCGAGGCCGGGACGAGTCTGGAAGCCAGGGTTGGCAGCCAGCATTTCAAACAAGCAAGCACATAATGATCAACGGGTGCCCACGTGCCAAGGGGGATGTGTGCAGCCCTCCGGTCCTACCTGCTTGCCCGCATCCCTCTGACCTGGCCTGCCATCGCACCCGGTGCTGCTTCTGCAGCTCTACCTGCCCATCCAGAAAGCGCAGCAGCAGCAGCAGCAGCAGCAGGAGGATATGCTGGAGCACTGACCCACCGCAGCACCCAACAGTATTCAATAGGGCAGGCATGGAGGTTTAGATGGCACCGTGCGGGCCAAACGAGTTTGACAGGCAGGCAGGCAGGCAGGCGGTTAGACGGGCGCACACCGTACAGGCAGGGATTTCCAAGCGACCAGCTGCGGACATCACACACAGCTAGGTTAGGGTAGCTCAGAAGCAGGTACTTCTATTTTTGAGCAGTGCAGCAGCAACAGGAGCGCGGCAACTGCCCCCGACATTCTTCCTCTGACCATCTGGGAGCTGACATCCGGGCAACAGCGCACTTATGACCAACACTCCTCTGCTTCTGCTTGTACCCATGTTCCTTCCTCTGTTCCTGGCTGTGCCAGCGGCACCAGCAAGGCTGTGTAATTGCTGGATGCAATGCGCAGCAAGCCAGCACAAGCAGCTGCCATGTAGGAGCCTGTGTGGCGGCTCCTGCGAGTCTTTCTGGCCCCGGCCAGCCAGGGAGCAGATCCAATTGTATGCCTCTGTGCAGCGGTTCCTGCGCCGCTATTGTGTGGTACAGTGTGTGGGTGGTTGCATGTTCATTCTTCATTCGACAGCATGCTAGCAAGCAGGCTTCAGCGGCCGCCATACTGGCCCCCGCCCCAGCCCTGCTGTGGGTAGCCCTGCTGCTGCGGGGGGAACCCCTGCTGCTGGAAGTTGTGGGGCTGCTGCCCGTAGCCGCCATACCCGCCCGCCTGCCCCTGCTGCCAGCCAGCTCCGCCGCCGCCGCCGTGCGCGGCGGGGGCGCCCCCGTAGCCTCCCCCGACGGGGCCGCCCATGTACGGCCCCTGCCCCTGCCCCTGCCCCTGCTGGCCGCCGTAGGCATACACGGGCGGGCCCTGCTGCCCCTGCTGGTGCTGGGCCGGGTAGAAGCCTGCGGCAGGCGCCATGCCCTGCCCCGCCATCATCCCCGCCGGCATGCCGTGCTGCTGCGGCGGCGCCTGCTGCACAGGGGGCGGCGGCGGCGCCTGCTGCTGCTGGCTCGGCAGCCTTGGCTGCTTCCTCCAGGCCAGGAGCATGGCATCCACGCTGGGGTAGTCCTGCAGCCAGGAGGGCGGCTGGATCGCGCCCATCAGCCTGCCTGCCCCCTCAAAAACAGGAGCACATACCCCACGCTGCCCGCCCGCCCGCCTGCCTGCCTGCCTGCCTGTGCACCACATGCTCCACCTGCACTGCACACGCAGCAGCCCCGCACCCCCCCCACCCCTCCCCGGCCCCACGCGCCGCCCTCCTCGCCTTCTTGCGGAAGTAGTATCCGTCGGGGGTGACCATGAAGTACTCGCAGTGCGGGGTGGCGGTGCGGATGTAGCCCAGGAAGAACATGCCCGCCTTGTCCACCGCGGGGCCCAGGCAGTACACGCCCTGGGCGGGCCCCACCTGCTGCTTCTGCTCTATCAGATCCTCCTGCAGGCAGGGAGGTGGGGTGGGGGTGGGGGTGGGGGTGGGGTAGAGAGTGTGGGGTACAGGCCAGCGGGCGCCCGCTCCACTCCCGCGCTCGCCACGCTCCCCTCTCCGGCTCGACGCGCCGGCCTCCCTGGCCCGCCCCCGCCCCACCACGCGCACAGCCGGCCCCCTGGCCGCCGCGTCGCGCCCCGCAGCACCCCCGGCCGCAGGCATGACACACACACACCGCCCACCTTTGCGCGCGGCCAGTCCTGGGGCGTCCACTTGCGGTGGGCCACCAGGGCCTGCAGGTGGGCCTGCAGCGGCTCCACAAAGCGCGCCGCCAGCTCATCCAGGTCCTCATACGTCTCCCTCCTGCTGCCGCCGGGCACATACTCCACCACCAGGCTGGTGCCCAGCTTCAGGGCGGCGGCGCTCTGCGCGCGGGCGGGCGGCCGGCACGGCGAGGCAGGGTCGGGAGGGGCGCACAGGCGGGTGCAGCGGCACGACGCGCAGGCCCTGCGATGCCGCGAGGGCGAACCAGCGACCTGCCGGCGGCGCCGCGCCGCCGATGCCGACCGGGCAGGGAAGCCCGAGCCGGGCTCGGCACGTCAACCCTCACACTCCCATGCTCCTCGTCCCCACCCAATGGCACAGATGCAGGCCCAGCCAGCTGGACACCAGCCCCGCCCAGCCCAGCCCCGCCCCGCCCTGCCCAGCCCCACCCAGCCCGCCCACCTTGCCCATCTCCTCGGCATCCAGGTGCCAGACGGACTCTGGCAGCTTGATGGAGATGCCCAGATACTTGATGCCGTTGCGGCTGGGCCGCAGGATGGCCTGCCCCACCGGCACCCCGGCCTCCTGCAGCTGCGCCGCCGCGTCGATCTGGCTCATGTTCTTGAACAGCGGGTGCTGGATGGGGCGGGGCACAAACTGCGGGCGGGGAGGGGGCGAGCGACAGGCGTGCGCGCGCTGGCAGCGCTGCAGGGGGTCGTGGGCGCACGAGGCGGGCACGCACCCGCCGCACCCGCTCAGCCAGACGCTGCTTCCCCCTCCGGCCCCGGCGCCAGCCGGCAGCGCGCCCGGCGCCGCCGCGCGCGGTGCCCGCGCCGGCAGCAGCCACGCACGTTGCTCTTGTTCTTGCGCCGCGTTGCCTCGGCCGCCTCCCGCGGGTCCTTCTTGGGCGGCAGCTCGTAGTACCGGTCCTGGCCAGCCTGGTAGGCCGCCTCCCACTTCTCCTCATTGTTCACCACATCGCTGCGTGTGGACAGCTTGACCAGCCACGAGGCGGGCACGACGTCGATGACCCTGGGGGGAGGCGCGGGGCCGGGGGGTGGGGCAGGGGTGAGCGGGCAGGCGGGGTGGAGGCGCGGCACGGGGCAGGCCGTGGGGCAGGGAGGGGGCGGGGGATGCAGCAGGTGGCGCGCGTGCCATCCGACGACGGCAGCGGCCCAGCCGGCACGGCCCCGCCAGCAGCCCCTCCACACACACACACACACACACACACACACACATACACACACACCTGGCGGGCACGGTCTGGTTTGGCTGCAGCAGCTCCCTCAGGTTGATCTCCTCGTTTGAGTCGCTGGCCCTGCGGCTGACATCCCCCCGCTCA